ACAGCAATCAGCAGCCACAGCAAATACAAACGGCCTTTTATCATCCTGCGCTTGTCAAATGCTGCCCAAGTATCTTCTCTGCAAAAGGCACATTTCATGCTGAACGAAGTTTCCTCGAGATGTTAAAGGGGGTTCCTCTTTTTATTTATTTTCAGATATACATGGAAATCAGCTTGATATAAAAATCCTAATGATGTGTGTTATTGTATTAAAAACCTTATTTCTAGGTATAGTGTAATAACTTGTATTAGGGATGTACGGATACCGAGTATTTGGGTGAGTACTCGTCCAAATGCTCCGATACCTATCCCAATACCAGAACTTCCAGTCAGAGGGAGATTTCCTCTGACCGGCAGTGCCGCAAGGGAACATGGAGCCAGCTTCCCAGCCAATCAGGAAGCTGGGCCACGGGTAATGCCTCGCAGCCAGGATCCCTAATTGGCCAGGAAGCTGGCTCCATGCTGATTGGCTGGGAAGCCGGCTTCATGCTGATTGGCTAGGATGCCAGCTTCCTGGCCAATCAGCATTGAGCCAGCCAAACAGCATGGATTCAGCTTCCCACCCCAATCAGGAAGCTGGGCTGCCGGTAATGACCCGGCTTCCTGATTAGCCGGGAAGCCGACTCTATGTTGATTGGTCGGAAAGCTGGCTTCCCAGCCAATCAGCAACGAGCCCATCAAACGGCATGGAGCCGGCTTTCCGGGCAATCAAGAAGCCGGGCAGCGGGTAATGACGCGCTGCTTGGCTTCCTGATTGCCTGGGAAGCCGACAACCTGTATTATCGAGCAAGACACCCGTTTTATTGAGCAAATTTAAATGCATTGCTGTGAATGAACAAAAGTGCGCACAAACGCGAACAGAAATACGCACAGAAATGTGCAAACCGCCTGTGTCACGCGTTTTCAAGCGCATCCATTGAAGTCTATGCAGCCAAACGCACGGTAATATGCCTGAAAGAAGCTCATGTACCTTTTTCCAGTGTTCTGCATTTACAGCTTGTGAACAGAGGAATGAATGGGATTTCTTGTGTTGAAAGTTTTGTCTCGCTTAGCTTTGAGCATCAAAACTCCCAGGTGTAAACAGGGACTAACTGTCAGATAAGATATCAGCCGCACAGGGAGTGCATTGATTTCAAGTTGTAACGAGTCAGCCAGCTTCTAGACTTGCATTGTGAGAAAGTGAAGTAATGTGCAACCATTGTGCAGCAGAATAATGACATTAACACACAAGCATTAAGGAAGCCCATTCATTTGAATAGGCTGGCAATCCACCACAACAGAACTTACAATGTACCTGCACTTTTTCCCCAAGTCAGTGCGTCACAAAGCACAAAAGAGTTACTGTGTGCTGCTGGTGCATGGAAGGCACATTCCTTTAGTGCATGTGGGTGCCATTTAAATTGAATGGCACCACAACACATTAACACGTGATAACACGTACGTTACTGCAGTGCTTAGGCATGTATCCAGCCTTACACATGTTGATAAGATTATTGACATGAAGACTATATTCCCTTTCCATGGATGGTCTGGAGGCATTTTCAACTGATCATCTGCAGTTTTTGATGCCATTGCTAACATGCAGTTGTTATGACTCATTTCTTTACATTCCCTCATATACACTGAGTGGCCAGATTATTATGACCACCTGACGTTTGTAGGCAAATTAGCTATAATTTGGCACTGAAGTTGCTAGAGGGCCAGACCATTATAAATAGGGAAGCAGGTTGTTTACCACGACAGTAGAAGTGATTTTTTTTCTGAAGATACGGGTAAACAACGTGATTTAACAGCCTTTGAACGTGGGATGATCGTTTGGTGCTCGGAGCCATGGAGCGAGTATCAGCAAAACAGCAGAATTCGTTAAATGTTCAAGAGCAGCTGTTGTTAAAGTGTTTAAAGACTGGACTGTCAGCCGAAAATCTGGGTGTGAACGTGCGAATTGTGGCCGTCAGCGACTAGTCAATGTTAGGGCAGAACGGAGAGTGGCAAGACTGGTACAAGACAACAGAAGGGCAACAATGCAGTGTCAGATTCCTCGCATCACCTTTCAACATCTCGTATAGTCACGAGGGGGCCCAACGAAGTCATCTCGTGGAGTCATCTCGTGGCCCAACGAAGTACGGATGGGGTGGTCATAATAATCTGGCCACTCAGTGTAAGTGTAATATGTAGCCATGCTAAATGTCACTGTTTTTAAACTGTTACACAATTCCAGGTCACATTTATCATTTCATGGAGGCCTATTGTGTATGAACAGGACAGTTTTATTTAGTTAGGAGCTCTGCCTTTGGCAAACAGGGTCAACTTGTAATGTTTTCTCATGCGGCATTATATATATATGCACTGCAAAGCATGCTGCATTCAGCACGTATAATGGAATTCCTCCACACTAATATACACCTACATCTTCAAAAGTTAACAGAACTTTCAACTTTACCCTGAGATTTATCTAAGGTGAATCTCTTTGTAATTACAAGACGGGTATAAAATATCAGTTTCACTGAAACTAAGCTCTGACCAGTGTTAGTATTTTTCCTGTAGGTTGCATTGCAGGTGACTTAAAGTGACACTAAACTTAGGAGTTAAATCCTAAAAATACATTCAATTACATACTATTAACAAAAAAGGTAACTTATTTGTGTATCACTCAGCTGTAGATCCTCATACTTTGGCCCCTTTCATACATGCAGTCCGACATACAATGACACACTAGTGACTTCTGTTCTGTTCTGATGAGAACGGATGTTGCTCATGTGAAAAGGGCCTCTGGTAGTCACATTTGGGAAAATGGTAACACATTATCATGATAGTGGAGCAATCTGCCAATGATTGGAGTAAAAATGCCCATATCGGTGAACCTCAGGAGACCAACATCAGCGTTGCAACGGAATGCAGTCCTATCCTAATGATGTTTTTTCTTTTGGTACTGAGCTTGTGAAAAATTATGTGGAGGCACTACAAACACTAACCAACCCAATAACCCAAATGTTAAACTTCACCTCTTGTGTGCCAGCATCCTGCAAAGACTGTAGACTTCAAACACTATGAAACATGCCAATGGTAGGCCACTCCTGGTATAATCAACAAATAGTAAAAGAATGGAAATGGAAGGTTTTACCTTGTTTCCAATGTATTATGTGTATTGGTAGATGCTGGCAATGAAAGATGGCACTCATTTGAGCTTGGCCATACATGACCTGATTTGCTTTTTCAATTCGCATATCACCTCTGATAATTTAGGGTTAACTTCCAAGCAATTTAGGGTTAACTTCCAAGTAAGTTATTGAATGCAGAAAATCTCCATGATGTTGGAAGCTTTCTGGTTCTAAGGGTCATTCCCTTATCTCAGTTCTTGCTCTGCAGGATTTTCTCATCCAAAGGTCAGGCAGTGGTATTGTGGCCCATCCAGATTATTTCTACAAATAGAAAGTG